TCTTAACTTCATGTGGACTTTGGAATGTTTGGTGTTAAAATTCAAAAAGAGGAAAAATGTGTTATATAGAGCATTTTTGTCTATTACGGACCTTATCACCATCGACCACTTTTGGGACCTCCATAATACAAATTGTTAAAATGGGGCCCATCAACCCACAATTCTGATATATCCATTATAAAGGTTCAACATTTTAAAACGTACTAAATTTTATCTGAAGCGTATTGAGTTCCCGATTTAATCGACCCATTACTAATCCTGATATTTTTAATTAAACTTCTTCAAGTCTCAAAATTATGCCTCCCACACCGACAAATTCAAATTTTAGTAAAAGTAGGCAGATATTCTCGTTTCAGTATAACAAATATAGCGAGGTCTACATTCATTCAAAACAGCCAATTTTCAATTTTACTCGAAACACCTAGGTTAATTAAAAATCCGTACGTTTTTGTATCTAACCCATACTTGAGTTTAATATTTACAAAATATAGTTAATATCGGTCCAAAGTTACTCGTATTATCCCCCAAAAGTCCTACGTGCTATCCAACGTGGTGATTAATGTCTTAACGTTAATCAAACATCCAACGAGGTCTAGTTCATCACCCCAGTTGCTTGCATTATATCGACCAGTTCAATCCCATTCCTCATTAAAGTTCTGTTCAGTTTCCTGGCATTAATTTGATGAAATAACTTTAATTATTTGTAATTCATTGAACGGGCAGTAAAGGACACTCACAAAGCTACATTTTCGCCTTATCACATCTCATCAATGTTGATGGGAAAACATCATACCACCCCACTCCACAAAGACCAGTCTAAGCAGGTCCCCCATTAACAGACCATTTTTGGCAATGCGAATCCATCTCATTTTACACGAACACCTTTTGATTGAGATTTTTATGTGGTCTTTATGCCAACAATTACGTGTGTGAGTGAAGATGTTTGCAATACAAACATACAATCAATGGCCAACGTAGTGGAATCATCAAACCAACAACAATTCATTCACCACGAATCTTTATGAAGAGAAGCATTCACCAAAAAAAACAGTGCAAGAAATTACTAATCAGCATGGATGAGGCATCCAGATGGCTTAATACAACTGCGAACGTGACCAAAACTCCGTGAGCAAATGTTTGCCAAGATCACAAGCGGATGAAACCTTTTCGTCCTTGTTGGTTCTAAGTTACAACGACATGTGCGATGTAATCGCACGCGTCTTCTCCGGTTCGGGTAATGAAATCACATTTACAGCTAGGATAGAAAACATTTGCCGACCACAGTCACGGCTAACACTTGAAGTGTAATACCTGTTCAGAGCAGAGTAACAACAACAACAAAACGCGTCGAATCTTTAAAGTTGAAATCAAGAAAGATTCAATTGATGCCTATGGAATAATAATTAACCCCTTACTCTGAATCGACAGACCAAGGCAACATATTGAACTTTTGAAGCAAACTAGCTTCAAAGAGAGTGTTAAGTGCTGGCAATTTGCAGCAGTAACTGTTTTTAAAGTCCAATTTGAATTGATTGAATAATTTGTGGATTTTTGTTTAAAACCAGAACATGGGAAAATTATGTGATTTTTGATGTTAAATATAATTTAAATATTTTTACCTCGGGCCTTCGTTTTGTTATTTTTTTTTCTCATAAAACAAATAGTAAATCCTGCAATGAATCTCCGATTTGATGTAGAACATTGACTCAATATTTTCATGAAACATAAGTAAGAGTTATGTAGGGACAGTAAAATCGCCGAAACATTGACCATGACTCAGCATTATTGAAAAAATATATTTAAATAACATATATTGCATATAATATGTCCTGTCCTGGGGACCCGTAGCGTTGGGAATCGGAACCAACTAAATAAGCTCAGTCTCATATAAAGTTAATTGAATATCCGATTGAATCCAAACATTGATTACCCATTTGTCAACCCCTTCATGTAAATCACCCACAATTGTTCAAACTCAATTTTGGAATCTGATTAATAATCGACGCTAACTTTACTTGTCGTAATATTTATATATAACCTAGCGATGAGCTCTATCACAAAAAACAGCAGAGATTGTAACATAATATGATTGTTTTTGCGAGAAAAAACACAGCCCTCCGTGGTATTCTTAACCTCTCTCTATATCATTTCACTTACGGAGTACCCCTATCTTCCACCACCTACTTTAGAACTATGTTTTTTTTTTTTTGCCTTTCTCCATTTACTCCTCCATGCTAACTGTTTATTAATATTTACAGATTTTCACAACTTTTAGTTCCAGATTCTTTTTCAGGTTTGTGCAGAGGCATGTCCGTCCGTTGAATGTGTATCGTAAAGTATTCGTATCGTTCAGGTATGTCTTTTATATTTTAATAAAAGTTTATATTCTTATTTAATTGTTTTCAATTTACCCTCACTTTCTGTACTTAATGTACCTTATACTTTAGAAATATGATTGCCGAAATTGTGGATTCAAAAATAAAATTAAAATAAAATTTGGAAACCTCTGGACTCCTTGAGTCGAGACTGAGTTCCCACATGAAAAAGTCTAAAGGGCTAAGCAGAATGTTCGCGTTGAGCGTTTTTTGTTATCGCGTTAACGCACGCAAAAAGTTAAAATATATATAACTCCGAAGCGCATCGCACATCAACTTCGAGCGTTTGTGTTATCGTTTCCTTGTGGTTGTTGTATTTTCGATAAAATATAGCGCGACGGATGACTCAACGCGAGCATTCTGCTTAGCCCTTACCTCTAAAACGATCTTGGTGACGTTTCGACCAGCCAAATACGTTTCATTATCTTTGCAATAGACGAGAGTTGCAAAATATTAAAAACTGTCTACAACAAAGGACTTTTGGACCCAAATAAATGATAAAGAACAACAAAAACAACAACATTCCATTTAAACTCTCAATATATTTGTCATATCTTTTACATGTTGAAACATTTAACCAGAACGATTAGGGCGACGATTGACGACACGTTTTCTGCGATATCTACGGTGTTGGCGTTGTTTACGGTTCTTACGCTGTTTGCGCTGTCTACGATTTCTGCGTTGCTTGCGGGTTCTACGGTTTCTGCGGTTACGATTGCGACGACGACGATTGAGTCTGTTGCGACGAACATTGTTCCTATTACGACGGTTGCGACGACGACGTCTATTGGCCCTTGTGTCTACTTCTTCCAAATCATAGTCCTCATCATCAGCCTTTTCTTCGTCGTCGTAGTCTTCATCCGCTTCAAGTTCTCCATCTTCGGTCTCCATTAATTTATTGTACGCCTCCTCATCTTCATCCTCGTTGTCGCCATTATCTTCTTTGACTGGTTGTTCATTCTTTAACTTGATCTCCGAACTTTTATGTTCGGCAATAGTATTGTCGATTACAGGTCGTTCAATGACAAAAGCCGATGCAGCAAAACTCTGGCGTACCATGCACAGTACAGCCAAAAAGGCAAAAGCAAACAGGAATGACAATTTCATTTTGAAAACAAATTGAATTCGTTTAGAAGACTACCGATTGTATTGCCTGATAAACAAGAGGTGAGGAACTGATGTTTCATTCCCAAAATGCAATTGATATTTATATGATAAATTTTGTGTAGGGAAACATATGTTCTGTACTGGCCTCCAATTGTGTAAATAGGTAACATGACTAACCATTACTGTAACATCACATAACTGGATTATTCTGTAACAAATATTTAAATTCTTTATGTTGACATATTTCTATCAATTTACAGCTGTTTGAATACACAAAAATATACTAAAATCCAGAAAATATATTTCCTAATGACAGAAATAAAATTCGACCTTATCTGGGTCCATACTTTTAGATTACATATACACAAAGGGGGGAAATCTAGATATTTAACGCGTTCGCGATCTTCTGTTGGTACAAAAACATAGGCAAGTAAAGATCGGATATGATAACTGAAATATAAGTTTAAGTCACATACATACATATATGTTTACCTTTAACTTATTTTACATCTCATCAATTTTTATATTTTTATTAAAAATTACAAGATATTATTTTAATAATTTTTCTGGATTTTAAGTATCAATAAATTACATAAAACATATTCCCAGATGTTAGTCAACACAAAGAATGTAAACATTTGTTAAAGAACATCACCATCACAATAACGGTAAATTGTGTTCTTAACGGTAAAATTAAATATTTAAACAATTGGCTCTGTAACGGCCAGATCATGCGTTTCCGTACACGTCCAATTTTTTTCATATAAATATCCATAGGAGTTTGGGATAACAGCATCAGTTCCTCATCTCTTGTTTATCATTCAATACAATCGGTATAATCCAATCGAAATTAACGAATTGAATTTATTTTCAAAATGAAATTGTCATTCCTGTTTGTTTTTGCCTTTTTGGCTGTACTGTGTATGGCACGCCAGAGTTCCGCTGCATCAGCTCTGGTCACTGAACGACCTGTAATCGACAATGCTATTGTGGAACAAAAACGTTCGGAAATCGTATTAAAGAATGAACAACCAATTAAAGAAGATAATGACGACAACGAGGATGAAGATGAGGAGGCTTACAATAAATTAATGGAGACCGAAGATGGAGAACTTGAAGCGGATGAAGACTACGAGGACGAAGAAAAGGCTGATGATGAGGACTATGATTTGGAAGAAGTAGATACAAGGGCCAATAGACGTCGTCGTCGTCGCAACCGTCGTAATAGGAACAATGTTCGTCGCAACAGACTCAATCGTCGTCGTCGCAATCGTAACCGCAGAAACCGTAGAACCCGCAAGCAACGTAGAAATCGCAGACAACGCAAACAACGTAAGAACCGTAACCAACGCCAACACCGTAGATATCGCAGAAAACGTGTCGTCAATCGTCGCCCTAATCGTTCCGGTTAAATAGTTATGGTTTTTAAAGGAATGACAAACAAATAAATATTTCTATGATTTCAAATTATATTTGTTGTTGTTATTTAGCATTTATTTGATAAGTACTCTACAAAGCTCACTTTTTAGCTAGAATTTTATTAATGTTTTGCAACTCTCGTGTACTCCAAGGTTCCAATGGATCTGGAGGTGATATTTTACCCTCATCATGTTTCTTTTTCATGGGTGCCGATCGTCCTCGTCCCCCATAATAGTCTTCCCCAGCATAATCCGGAGAAACTCTAAAAGTATATATTCAAAAAATCAGATATTCGAAAAAGGTCCAATATCGATAACATACTTATTTTTGCGCCTTATTCGAGCCGTTTTAGCACGCCTTGCTGCATCATCCTGCTGATATTGACGTTTGCGCAAATGAAACTGTTTCATGGTAGCGTGTACCTCCTCCGCAGTTGGTATATCATCCATTGTCTCGCCTGAATCATCATTAGCATCTTCGGTTTCCACATCGGCTTCTTGTTCCACTGTGAGAACATGCTCAGCCAAAGCTTCTTGGAAATCGAAAGCCTAGAAAATTAAAAACATTATACTCTCCAAAGGAGGCAGTATTTTCAGGGATAGGGTATCTTACCGGAATACTATCCTCATCATTGTCGGTGGGAACCTTTTCCCACACCGAATTAATTAATTTATCCGAGCTGTCGCCAAGAGTGCTTTTTGGAATGGGTACCTTAAATAGTGCGTTTCGTGTCCTTCTGGCCAACGAAAGTTTTCCCAAAATCGGACCTCCACCATCACTTTCCTCGGTCTCCACATCTGCTACCATTTTCAAAAATTGTTCCAGCTTCTTTGGATCCACAATATCTTTGGGGTCTTGAAATAGATTCGTCAGATTTGCACCCATACCCATGTCACCAAGAATACCAGTTTCATTAGGCACAGGATCAGGTTGTTTTGTTAATGTAACATCTTTCAAGCTGGTGGCCTCGGTGGGAGGCTTTGACTCCTCTACCTGTGGTTGTTGCTGTTGGGTTTCAATTGTCTTTTTGACCAAATCATAGGCCTTGTTGGCCAATTGTATTAATGCAGAATAGAATTGTGGATCGTGTATTTCTGGTTTTTCTTCGGCCAAAAGTACTAAATCACGCAGGGGGTCTGGAGCGGGAGTTTGTATTACATCTTTCTTATCTACTGCTTTCGTAGAAGTTCTTAAAGCCAATCCAGAACTGGATGCAGGATCATTAGCAAAATTTAACATATCCATGGCATTGGTTAGATTGGATTGTCCTCCAACTTCCTGATTCAAATTATAGGGATCTTTCAATTTCTTTTTTGCTACCTTAATGGGACTTGATATGGACGCTCGTCCCCACATTAGTCGTCGCATTTCTTCACCAGTCATACCACGTTTTTTCAATGCATTGAGTGTCACACGACCCACCCTCTTCCAATTTGATACCGCTCCCTTGCGTTGTTTGGCTCTTGTCTTACTTTTGCTTTTGATTACCATTACACCCCTCACTTCAAAACCAGAATCATCAGAAGGACCCAGTGGTATGGAATAAGCCTCTAAATAATTTTTAGCATCAGCCTGAGGAACAGCCCGTTCTAAGGTCACCACAATCTTGGCCCACTGTTTCATCCATTCCTTTTCGGATTGTTCGATGACATGGGCATAGGTGTTGCCCATCATGGCAATTAACATGTTCAACAACAAAATAGGGACGAATATCATGAATATAACGAAAACGGTTTTCGATAAGTTCGGATAGGTTGTTTGATTGAGATCGGGATACTAAAATAAGTTGATGTTAGTAAAATATTTCACAAATTTTGGTATATTTCTCCTACATTATAATCACCCAATGTGGTCTGAAATAAAGCCATCCATGTACTGGGAAAGGTGTCGAACATGGTTGACTGTAGCTGAGGATGGCCCTTGTAAAGAAAATAAAAGGCCTGAGAAAAACCGCACAAAACAATGGAATAAATTATGCCAAAAGTAAACATGTCACCCGTGATCATGGAATATATCATGGTTACAAAAGGTCCCGTGAGGCGGATGGCTCTGAAATCCGAAATATCATTAATATGGACTACTTCCAAAACTTTAAACTTACCCTGCAAAGAACATTAGAAGAAACCAACTTCCTGGTACAGCAAATATGAGAATGGCTTCTTCTGTATCCGTGTCGCCCATGATGCGAAACGGTATGCAGGCCAATATCATTAGGTTTGAGACCAAAAATATTACCTTTGCTGGGGCATGAGACTAGATGAAGAAATATTAAAATTATTTTTCAGTTATTGTTCCTCTACCCACCAATTGCTTGAGAAATGCGGATAATCCTTGATTCTTTATTTCATCGCCTTGTTGAAAAATCAAAAAACTCAGTACCCCTGCAATGGTGCACAGCTCAGCACAATATCTCACTATGGTCTGTATGTCATATTCATCGTTGTCCAAATCATCTCCATTGGCTGCTACTCCATTTGTAGATGCATTTTCCTCCTCGTCATCATCTCCATCATGGGCTGGCCTTAAATACACCGATGTAGAGAGGCACAATAGATGTACCACCAAGATCAGTAGACGCTTTAGAAATTGATTCTGTGCAAATGTTTTCCATTTCTCCTCCAGCAAACGTTGTATAATGCCACCGTCCAACATATCCAAATGTTCTTCCTTGGTACCATTTAAAATTATGAATAAGGCGGAATTCCAATCTGTACATAATTGGAAATATATTTAATTTTGAGAAGAGTTTCTAGTAGCTGAATTACTCACTGGTCCTTCCATCTGGTAGTAAAGTATCCAATGCATTCAACGGATAACCCGAACAGGTGATATTACTGTAACGCCAAAATTCTCTGGCGGACAGTTCTAACATTTCCCTGAATACTTCAGCACGACCCAATTTACAAGCCAGTGTTAGGGGTGTTAGACCGGCATGATTGACAATACCATTTTTGGCCGGTGTCTTGGGATGACGCAATGCGTAGCCGAACATATCCTTAGAAAAAGAAAAAATTATAAAACGGATGAAAAAAGTAATCCATGTAAATGAACATTGTTGGCTCTTTGTAAGTGGGAAAATATAAGGATTCAGATAATACAAGTCATATTTTTGTCGATATACATAGTATTCAACTCACCAATTTATCGCACACCACAACCATATGTAGGATCATATTACCAAAACTATCCTGAGCATCGGGATCAGCATCATGATCAATCAACAAATTATAAACACTCTCATTGGCACAGCAGGCTGCCCATGACAATGGATATTCTCCCATATAAGCCAAACCTTCATAATCAGTACTCTTGGCCGGATTAGCTCGCTGTTGGTCTTTGGGCAAAAAGAAACTTCCAATAGCCCTTTGATTTATATCTGCTCCAGCCTCAATTAGATCAGCAACCAATTCATTATTACTATAGGCAATGGCCAAATGTAAAGCACTGGCGCCCAAATACTCCTCCCCTTCAATAACATCCAGAGCCAAGCGGGGAAATACTCTCAGTAAAATACGTGCCAACTTCGTGTGCATTTTCGAGTCACATATAATGAGGACATGAAGCAGACTTTCACCCAACGCCCCACGATACTGCATTTGCCAACAGGCACTATGATCTTTCCATTTACCCAATGGGTCATGTATTGACAACGAGGCCTCGATGGGTATGGTCACTTCGGTATGGTCTCGATATTTCCATCGCAAGAACTCGGCACGATTAATGACCTGACCCTTACCATCGTTGTACATAAAAATACCAAATTGTTCGCGTATCAATTGTTCCACAGCCACCAGGCCACCGGTGTTAATGGCATCAATAAGGTCACCACCTGTATTCCGACATAGCATGAAATGTTAATATTTTTTCTTAGCAATGTCTATTTTTTTTGCTTACCCCTTTTATAATCGGCCAATTTATAGAGCAAACATTTGCTGGCCGTTGCCGATGACTGTGAAATGACAGCATCCAAAATAGCACCGGGTTTTAATTCTTGGGGCTTTTTTCTTAGGCATTTTTTCATGAACAGCCTCATTTGGAATTATTTTACTTTTCAAAAACAAAACGCAACTATGCCATTCTTTATATAAATTGTTTAATCAATTTATATCATGGTTTTCGAGTTCTTTCGTTGCTAGGACACTATTATTTGTTGTGGCAATGTAAATAGACGCACAAATCAATACTTCCGATTTTTTGCCATTATAACTTCAACACTCCCTTTGTATAGTTAGTACAGTGTAGAATCAGATACACGTAATAATATGATGCTGAAGCCGATCCATTTACTTTAATATGGATATAGAATAACCATAAGGTAGGTATTGAAAATACCTTTATATGGATACTAGGAAATGGTGTATTGCGACCAAAATGTTTTTTAAAAAATTAAATTCAAAATTACAAACTCAGCTTGGATGTTCCGGCTAATATCTTAAGCCTATTTAAAAATGGAATATTCTGAAGCCGTTCCAATATGTATATAGAATGGGTATTAAAAATAACTTTATATGGGGACTACGAAATGGTGAATTGCGTCCGAGTGTAAATTTCGGCAAATACCATAAACATTCTGAAAATGGAGCGGAACCCTCATATGGACCTATATTGGATTTCTGTATTTTTTGTGGGGAGGAACAAAAATAACCATTGTTTGTACTAAAAATATGTTTTGAAAAATAATAAAGTGTATCTAGTATGAATCAAATAGGATTCACCATGATATCTATATGAGTCGTTTATTTTGAAAGTAGTCTAACTCCATTTTAGGGTCTGATAAAAATTTTGTTTTTTTTAGACTTAAGGGAACCTTATTTTACATGTCTCCCTCTCATGAACCAGGATTATTGACTTCACTCAAAAAGCAACAAAATGGCGGACCTTTAAAAAATAAGGAAGATCTTGACCGATTGGATTTATCCTAGTTCATTCGCCATTCGGAAAAACGCTGTTTGGAGAAAAATGCGTTTAAAGTTTGAAAAGCCCTCTTGCCGTCACTTAATGCTAGCACAATAAATCGGCAAGAGTTGTTGAGATTTTCACTTGACATTTCATAGGGACATTCTTGAATTAGTGTAGATTCGAATTAAATCAAAATACAAAATTAAATTTTTTGAAACCGACTTTCTTCGATTTTTTTTTTTTTTAATTTTCTGAGCCTTGTTTTTCTGTTTGTCATAAATACATAACTAAGGTTTATTATAAATAATATGGAGGATATTAGAAAAGGTGTGAATTTCACAAGGATTGTTGTATTAAAATCAATAATAAAATCTAAAGAGTCTCTGAGCAACATAGAGGCTCCGGTCTGTTAGCTCACGCCAACATTCCAAAAACTAGAGAAGCGAATGAAATTGCAAATAACCAACGACAAAGAAATCGAAACCTAATTGCAATAAATATCGAATCAATAATATATATAAAGAAATGCGAATACATACATTCATATATACAACTCTACATTCCCCCTAACAATGTCTTATATATGGATGTATACATATGTATATGCATGTACATCCAGTCTGAATGTTGAACGCTGCATGTGTGTTGTTGGCAGATGGGTGGAGTTTTCCAGTGGCCAAAGGACTGGTACTGAACCACAATTTCCACATACATGTGCAACATATATATATTTATATTTGAGTGTGTGTGTTGTACTCAACACTGGATACATGAACGACATTAATATGTAGTATCTTCTTCTGGATGTCTACCGCAGTTATATATATATATATATATATTTACCACATATATATTACAAAATACGATACACGTGTATGTCGCATTGTAAAGATATAACAATTGTATATACACATACATACACATATGTGTGTGAGTAACAACAATTCAGGAACAATGTACCATGAGAACGGCCATTCCCCAGCATGCGTCCAATCAGAATTGGAAAAAAGAAAAAAAATACAAGAAAAAAGCTAGCAAAAATACACCGTCACACATACAGCTTTAGCTGATAGCAGTGTTGTCGTGTTGGTTTTATATAAAGAAAACCCAAACAAAAATAATCACAGCAAAAACAAAAACATTGATACATTTATCAAAAATTTCATAGCATCAATTGTATTTTTATTTTTCATCGAAATTTGTATAAAAATTAAATATAGAAACCAATAATTTCCTAATTTTTTATTATTGCATCAATATTTAAACATAATTCGTCGGGTCAAAAACGCCAAAATAAAAAAAACGGCAACCCCATAGACAATACAAATCGACCAACAATGTCGGCAAGAGAATAAAAGCAAATGACAAAAACACCATGACGACAACGAGGATGATGCTGCTCCTGCTGCTGATGATGATGATAGGGAGCATATATCTCTGTACATAAGCATGGGATATGTGCAAACGAATAAAAAATACTTGATTTTGTTTCTTTTTTATTTTTATTTCTCTCTCATCTGTCATGGAATGTAACTTGAAAGGACAAATAAAAAAATAATAAGTATACAAGAAATATAAAAATGCGAAGAAAAAATAATTTGCAAAAAAAAAATCACTCACTCCTCACTCACTCGTTTCGGTGATGTGTTGAATCTTTGGTGGCGGTATGTTTACGTGAAGATATCATCTGTCATTTTTATACTTTTTCTCAAGCACAAACACACACACGTAAAACTTACTTATTTACGCTTTGTATGGTTAGAGAAAAAATATATTGGATACCTTAAGGTTTTAACAAATACCTTTGCAAAGAAAAGTATAATCCTCATATGATATGAATCCTGGCATTTATAAATTGTCATTCATTTGAGGTCTTGTTTATTCATGTTCTTACAGAACAAAAAAATTGCAATAGATTTGTTCTAAAAAATTATGGTATTAAGGAAGATTTAGAAATTAAATTATTATATATCCAAATATAGGCAATATAAAGATAACATATATAAAACAATTGTGAAGATATTTAAGGCGCGCATTTGATCCGAATGAATCGACCTGTATTACATATTATTTTCATGTCTTTTAGTAATGGTTCAACGAAATGACTATAATTCCCCCTTTGGGAAAATAATTTTAAAATAATTATTGTTGTACACTGTACTTACAGTGTACTATGGACCAGAAACCCAATATTTTGGCAAAAAATCTATTTCAGGTAGAAAAAAAAAATCCTTATTTATTTCAAATCCGGAGACTTTGAGCTTCACACCAGTAACATTTTATATCATTGTGGTTCATGATTTACAAATGACATGAGGTCAAAGTCAAAATTTCATATTTTAGTGAATATTATTTTTATTTGAAAAGTGTTATATAAAATTGACATGCTTGAAAATATTAACATGAAATGACGGCCAATAAAACAGGCGAAACTGGTACTTATAAAGAAGGTGAAAATTTATAATAAATTTAAGACAATCATCAACAAATTCGTATTTAAAAGTCAAAGGTTTATTTTTTTCCAAAAAAAAAATTGATTTTCATAACCAGCTATCTAGCAGTGACAGATGATATTTTAATGGCAAAACCACCAATCTGTCAAGAATTTGACGACCATTTGCAAACATTCATAAACATAAGAATTATTGCCGATAATATGAAAAAAGTCGTTCAAAATTGCCCTTAAAATGTTAATAAAAAATTAAAATTGGCTTTTACTTATTTACCATGCTGGTGACAAAATTAGAAAATATTAGCCTCTCCTCCAACCAAATAGACTGTACTTTAGTATTTTGAGTTATTATGGGTAACAAATCTTCGTAGAAAAATATCAATTTTTGTCCACTTTTACAGTATTCGATATTTTGAATTCGCATTGGACCTGAAATATTCGTATCAAAAACTATAAATATTGTCTAATTTTCGGGGTAGGCCCCATATAATCGGACTCCCCAATATTCGGTATTTTGGAGATTTTTAGCACGTCTTTCCACTAAATCGTTTGTATACCTATAACACATAAATCAAAGATGTCATAATATTTTGATATTAAAATCCTAATTCTATGAAATGAAATGAAAAAAATTATTTTCCTTATGTTTAATCGTGACCCTTATGTTTGATCGTGATCCGTTTTTGATTAATTTTATTTTATTATGGCCATTAATTTTAAAAAAAGGTGTTCAAAAATAATTGTAGAAATTCAATTCAAAAAAAAATTTATTGCCCTATTGAATTTTGTAGTCTTTCTTGCAGAATCGTAATCAGCGTCCCCGACCCAAAATTTGTCTAATTAATGCAACAAGAACGTATATTGTTCGAAATATATTAAGATTTTGTTGTATGCTCACATATATTGCATGACCGGGATTTCGATTCGACACAAATTGAGACAAAACTGTATTAAGTTTATTTTTAATTTTCATATTTATATGTAGTTCTGTCAATATTTTTTCATAGGTTACGTAATTATGTCTATAATAGCGTTTGCAAGATTTCTTAATCCTAGTAGATATATATCTATAACACATTCCATTTATTATAAATGATTCACCAAAGTCCCTAAATCTTTCTTCTGGCGTAGGAATTCCTTAACAATATGTTCATTTGTGGCGCCCAATATATTTGCCGATCAACACATATTTATATAAATTATAACTATGTATATTTCCTCACTGGATTGTGTAATTTTACATATTCACAATTGTTCCTAAAATATTTCGATAAGATCCACTTTTTATGGATGCCCTCAAATGTTGATGTTTTCCCATCAAGTCCATAATTTTTAAAAATTAAAAAGAATTAAAAATCGTCATTCGTTGTTGCAGTGTAATAATAGCCAATGGATTGTAAAAGATCTTTACATTGTTTTTCTTTTTTCATAACATACAATATCTATGTGATTGCATCCATTGTGCATCTAACAAAACACGAAGAATAAACAAAAAACACACCACACTTAACAAATAGCCACAAACTATTATACACATACAAACATATCTTTGGTATTTTATTTGCTGTTCGTTTGTGGTCACACAAATAGATCCATGACAGACAATAAAATGCTAACAGAGAAGAGCAAACAAAAATCAGCTAAAAACAACCAATACTACTCAAATAATTCCCAAAAACAATACCTAATCCTTATG